CTAAAGAGAGAGGTGGGGACAGATGTGAGTCAAGGTGCCAGCGTGTTCTCAGCTCCTTCCTCCTCCCCATTCAGCCCTGTTTTCCTCTTGTCTTGGCTCTCTATCTCTAAAGGGTCCCAGACATTTCCTGATGCCTTGGTCTCTTCTGTCTGGACGCAAAGCCTGGTGTTTTAAGAGGGCTAGGGGAGAGAAATCCCTGAACCCAAAGGGAGAGCCTTTTCTGTGGTGGCCTTTTGGGGACATGCACGGCTTGCTCACTCAGTGTGTGTAGATTGTCCCTGTGTTCTTACCAGGACAAGCTCGATCACCTTTAAGGTACAGCCATCAGATGGAAGCTGGAAGAACAAGGTCTAGCTGTTGGCATATGTGGAATCAGAGGGAGCTCGCACATTCTCTCTGCTCTTCTTAGCAGATGGTCATGGTAAAACCAGCTGCTGTGAGGTTCCTCAGCATTCCCTCCTTCTTCCCGACACCCACCCTCCGCACTTGCCTCAAGTCCACGTACACCCGGGGAAGCTTTTTGGGGATTCCAGGCTCAGCGTTCACCTGGAGCTCTCTGGAAGCTCTGAGCTGCCGGTGCAGGTGGCCCTGGACCCGTTCCAGGCCTGGGAGGGCTGTGGGGAAGGCAGGAGTTCTCTGCTTCTCGCCAGTGTGTTGCAATCAGTTGTACTTTGCCTGGGTCAATGGGCAGAGTCAAGTAGCTATGTGACAGTGGCACCTCTGAGGTGGGCTGCCTTTCAGGTTTCCTAGAAACCCTGAGTCCTGTGGATGTCATTTGTTTCAAGTGACGCGGAGGAGTGGAGGCACTTGGGGCTAGGTGTCTGAAGATGGGTCCAAGGATGCCTCTGCCCCGGGCCTTCGTGCCTCACCTGTCAAGGGGGATAGATAATGACAAGTGCTCTCCACACCAGGTTTCGTGACGATGCACTAGGTTCGTGCATGTGTAAGATCCTTGTCGACCCTCCCACAGACTCTGAAGGCAGGGGTGGGTCCTATTCATTTCCGTATCCCCAGCACCAAGCACGGTGCCCGGCTGACTCCAGTGTTTGTTGACTGAGTGCAAGAACGGGCAGGAAGTACAGGGCACGGGAAAGCCTGAAAAATTCAAAACTACCTCGAACCTGTTCAACCATGAAGAAGCAGATTTCCGCACGTGCTCCCATATCTACCTGTGTTTAGGTAGAAGTGGAATGGGCGAATGCTTGTGAGGAAACATTTTAAAATGAAAATTAACCAAAGGGATGTTGCCCTTCCTGCCTTTCCCTTCTCATCAATTCTTGGCAGTGCGTTTAGTGCCAGATACTTTTCTGTGGGAGTTGTGAGGAATGATAGGTCATTACTTTCTATGCCCCATCCATTATTGATAAATTTCAGAAAAAGGGCCCTTTCCACCAGGGGAATTTCTTTGTTTCCTCTTCTTCTGTGCTTATGCTCAAGAAGAGAACTGACTTTGGAGTCAGATTATTCTCGTTTTAATCCCGGCTCCCCTACTTTCTGCCCCTTTGACCTCAGTTTAGCCATGTAATCTCTCTAGGTCTCGGTTTCTTTATCTGTGAAGCGGGGATATGTGGTGGCCATAACCATGCATGTGCCTTGCAGCCCTCCAACGGAGTCCTTACTATCCACCTTCCGCAGATAAGGAAACAGAGAAACTAAGTGGTCAGCCAGACACTGATGGCTTTGGAACTGAAACTCCAGTCTTTGCTCCTGGTGCTTTGGAAACTTGGGATTGGCGGATTCTATTCAGACTCTGCTCCCAGGGACAGTCTCTTAGCAAACTAGCATCAGGAACTGGTCTGAGAAAGACCTTTGTCAGGCCCAATTCTGCTCAGCCTCAGGAATGCTAGAAGCCCCGGAAACATCCATAATGCAAGTCAGTGAAGGAGACCCAGCTCCAGCTGACCTCTGAACTCAAGGCCATCATTGGGCTTCCTCCTAGTGTCTGTCATCTGACGCTGTGGGAGGATGTTCCCTAAGTAGGTTATCAAACCCCCAAAGTTGGGAGGGACTCTGACTTATCCCCACCATAGCACAGTGCCTCCTGCTCACTTGGCCACTACGTAAATGCTTGTTACTGAGGGTGGTGGTGATTCTGATGGGCCTTCGTTTATAGTCTGAAGGAGTTAACAACAACAACAACAACAACAACAACAACAACAACAACAGAAAACAAACATTTGCTCTATGCCCGGCACTGTGCCAAGAAATGGAGATCCAACAATCAAAAGACAAGCTTTCAGACTCCCAGGGATTTCTAGGCTCGTGGGGAGACGGGCATGCTGAGTCTGCCTGGAGAGTCCAGGATGACTTCACAGAGGAGGCAGATTTGAGCTGAGACTGAGGAGGGTGAGAGTTTCCCAGGCAGGTGAAGGTGGGGAGGGGGCTGCTGGCCAAAGGAACATCCATGAATTGTGGAGGCATGAACAGAGCATTGCTGTGTTGGAGCACCTGCTGCTGAGTGCTGCTGGAGTGTCAAGCTCTTTCCCATTGAGCACCCCTCATCCACATGGTATGTGTGGTTTGGATGTGCCAAGGTCTCTTCCTTTTCTCCTCCATTCATGTAATCAGCATATTGTGTGCCAGGACACTGGGGTACAGAGGTGACAGCGTAGACTCGGGGCCTGCCCTCCTGGAGCTCTAAGTCAAATGACAAGTAAACAGGCTCTATTAAGAGCACAGCGCAGTGAATGTGGGCCAAGAGAGACCTTGATCTAGTGGGGGTGTATGAGTTTCCTATTGCTGCTGTAACAAATTGTCACAATCTTGGAAGCTTAACAGAATGCATATTTGTTATCTTGTGGTTCTGGAGATCAGAAGTTCAAAATCTATCTCATTGGGCCAAAATTAAGGTCTGGGCAGGGCTGGATCCTTCTGGAGCCTCTAGGGGAGAGTCTGTTCCTTGTCCTTTCAGCTTCTAGAAGCTGATGCCATCCCTTGATTTGTGACCTCTGCTCCTCTCTTTGTGTGTCTTTCTCTGATGTTCCTGCCTCCCTCTTTTAAGGACATTGGTGATTATGTTGGACCCACCCCGGTAATCTAGGATAATTCTCTATCTCTAGATCCTTGACTTAATCACATTTGCAAAGTGCCTTTGGTGATGTAAGGTAACGTAGGCATAGGGCCCAGGGATTAGGACGTGAACATCTTTGGGGGCCATTGTTCCGCCAACCACAGAGGGAGCCAGGGGAAAAGAGGGGAAGGTGCTCCCAGAAGTGGTATTTAACCCCGGACTTGTCAAAGGTGGGTGAGAGTGGAGGCAGGGAGGTCACTTAGGAGGCTGCTGGATTGGTCCAGGCAAGCCTTGATGATGGCCCCTGATGAGGTTGGTGGTCCTGGGAAGGGTGAGAGGCACTGCAGACTGAGATACAGCAGGGAGGGTGAAGGAGTGGGAAGTGCAGGGGCAAGGTTGAAAGAAAGCTGTCCCAGACAAGACGCACCTCAGTATCAACCAGGGCCGGTAGGAACCTGAGAGTTGTCTTTTAGGGAAAGGATTAGCAAGAACATGATGCCCAGGGTGCTGATTCTGATTCTTAAATCTTTCAGTGAGAGATTCCAGACGGTTTTGCGTTTAGTGAGTCGGGAGGAAATCTAACATTTAATGATTTTATTTGCTAGAATCATGTCCAATAAACGGATGACGTTCCGCTTGGTTTTCGAAGAGAAAAGCTGATCTAGAGGCCCCAGGAGGAAAGGCAGATGTTTACAGACCTGGATTCCTTGAGGCGGCCACCCCTCTGTCCGGGTGTCGTCAGTATCATTGGTGCTCTGAACAGGGACGGAGTGACCTTCCCGTGCTTCTATTTGTCTTGAGTTTCCCAAGGCAGGGAGTGAGCAGTCCAGTCTCTTGAGTGGGCTTGTTTGCTCCACTTAGGTAATTAGCTAATACCATCTCCTAAAACCTTATTTACACAGCAGCCAGGCTGCACTATGACAGAGGCCATAATAAACATTAGTGTACTAAAGACAGAGCAAAATCAAATGCGTTGCTGTTCCTTGCTGCACAAGACAGAGTTCTGAAGTGCATGAGAGCATCACGTGTGCAACACGACCCTGTTCTTCCTGCCATTCTAGAAAAGCCTCCAGCTTCACATATTTATTTCCAAGGTAATGAAATTGGCCTTCTAGAGACCAGGGACCTTTGAGAATCCAATATGTTCTCAAAACGAAGGGGGAATTTCTTTTCCAATGGCTTCTTACTGGAGGAAAATAGAAGAAAAATTCTGTCACTAAGGTCATTGCATTTTCTACCTAGAAATGTGCTTAAAATCTATTTTATTATTCTTATGTTTTTCCAGGAAACCAAGTTACTTGGCATGAAATATCACTCATTGTTTCCTTCCCTCAGTCCAGTCACCTGTTCTTTTGTTTTTCACTTTGGTTGTCTTCTGAAACCCCAACTTTTTTTTTTTTACTATGTCTGAGTTTTGACTTGTCTGCCCAATAGCAAGCTTGCCTTGTTCTTCCCTTTGTTTTGTGACCACGACCCGGGATGGAAGGGACTTTGAAACTCATTAGACATTCATCTCCTCTCTGCTCTTGGTATCCTCCAATCCTCAGTATGTGGACAGAGTAGCTGGGCATCCATCTCCTATTTATTCCCTCTCTGAGTTGCACAACACGTCTGTTTTTCAAATATGAAGGTTTGTCCTGCATCCTAGACATTGTTTAACCAAGGAAGCTTGAGAGAAGAAATGAATTCTAAATTACGGCGACCTGACTTTCAAAACTGGACCCTTGTAGAGAAATATAAGAATTTTAAACTCAGTTACTACTACTTTTTTTTGAAACACCAGAACTCCTGGTGCTCCTTTTCTAAGAACTCAAGCAGGCACCTCGAAACTGATCAGATCCTTTTACTGCCCGGCTTGGTGAGCCAGGTTTTCATGCTCCCGTTTGAAAGCTGGCTTGAGAAAGACATCTGTGCTTTGTTTCTGACGAGTTCCGTGTCTTGTATTTATCAACAAACTCTCTCTCCCCCTGTCCCCCGCCCTGTTTCTCAGTGGCCGTTCCGGCAGCAGCGCCCCCCGTGTGCCAGCCCAAGGGGGCCACTAACGGGCACTACGCTGCCCCACGCCTCTCCATCTCCTCCCGAGCCACGGTGGTAGCCAGGATGGAAGGCGCCTCCCAGGGGGGCTTGCAGACCGTCATGAAGTGGAAAACAGTCGTCGCAATCTTTGTGGTCGTGGTGGTCTACCTCGTCACCGGCGGTCTGGTCTTCCGAGCATTGGAGCAGCCCTTCGAGAGCAGCCAGAAGAATACCATTGCCTTGGAGAAGGCGGAGTTCCTGCGGGATCATATCTGCGTGAGCCCACAGGAGCTGGAGACGCTGATCCAGGTGAGCAGGGAGCGAGTCAGCTGCAGGGCAGCCTGCGGGGAAAAGGGGCAGCTTGGGTTTTGTCCTTTGGGCTCACGAAGTTTTGCCTTTGGTTGAGATGCTCCTGATGGTCAGGGAGGGCCTCTCCGGGGAGATGACGTCTGAGCTGGGACCTCAAAGGAGCCAGAGAGTGAGGCATGTGATGATGTGCGGGAAGGGGGGGCCACGTGTGCCACAGCCTTGATGCCGCGACGTTAGGAGCAGGCAGGGTTTCGCATCACCTGCTTTTGGATGAGGTGGCTGGAGGCAGAAGTAGGTGAAAGGGCTTTGGATCTTCAAATTTGAGTCCATCTCTTTGTGCTGATCAAGTTCCTGATTCTGAAGTCTGTGTGAGACGCTGGGCCAAGAGGGTGCCCTTAGAAGCCAAAGAAGGAATTTTAAATAAGCAGGGATGTGTTAATCTGTCCCAGGTCAATGAGAATGGAGTAAAGATCACCAGAGGGGGGATGGGAGGCTGTTGGTGACTTGACAGGGCAGTTTTGGTGGATTTATGGGGATGAAATAATAAGGATAGTAGTAGTAGTAATAATCAGGATTGCTGTTTTTGAACACTTATTGCATCAGGCACTGTGCTAAGGTCGTTGCATACCTTCGATATTAAGAAAAAAATATCCATAAAAAGATGGAGGCAGAGAACTTTGGGCTACCACCTAGAGAAGCAGGGCAATGAAAGCGGGGGGGGGGTAGCTGGGAGGACCCATGGTGAGATGACAGAGTCATCTCAGGTGGTGTGGTGGGAGCAAATGAAACAGGAGGCTCCAGAAGCCTGGGAAGGGCAGGGAGCCATGTCCCAGAGGGAGGAAGGGCAGTGGTTGGGAGCCCAGGTGGGGGGCTTCATCGTGCAGGAGATGGAGGATGGCTGCCTCAGAGACTGAGGTTTGAGTTCCTATCCTACACATGCTCCTGAACCAGGAAGTGTAGGTCCTGGGTGAAAGGCGGTGACATTTATGGAGGCAAGGGAGAGTCATATCTTTCCAGGGGTTCTAAAGTTTGCAAGGCAGAGGGATGGAAAAGATGGCTCCCGTGACTCCTTCTGCTCTGGGGTTATCTGCATTAAATTCTAAGGGCTACTGCAATCCAGGATATTGCAGGATTTGCAAGACTGACCTGGCTATTTGTATATTTATTTCAAACTACATTGATAGGCTAGGAGAATTATGGGGCTCCTTATGATCTGGAACATTCATAGCAATTGTATTCCTTTAAAGAAATTTTGATAATCTGACTTGACTTTTATAAATAAATAGAAATACACCATCTCCCCACCCCCCGGGAATAAATATGATTTCATATCTATGATCCTATAATTTTTATTAAGAAAGAAAACTTTAAAATGCAAAAATCTAAGGGCAGTATTTCATATTATTCTTTCTTCGATAGCTTTGTCTTTTTTCCCCTCACTTTATGAGAAAATGCTATCAAATTTGTGATGATGGGAGTGTTGTACCAATCTGTGCCAGATTTAAGGCAAAGAATGTCATAGAAAATGGGGGAAACAATTCTGGAGTAATTTTAAGTAAGAACGGAATTATACATGTTATTGTGATATGTGGTGAGATCCTTTCTATTTAGTTGCAATATATATAACAACCTAAAAAGTGGTCCGAATTGAATCTAGAGTCATGCTTGCATTTGCCTTTCTTAGACAGTGAGGTTTTGCGGAAAAAGATTATGTCATATTATCTTTGCATCCATGTGTAGCCTATGCATTGCTTTGCATCTAATTATTGCCCAATAGAGAAATCCTTTTTTTTTAAGATTTTATTTATTTATTCATGAGAGACAGAGGGAGAGAGAGAGGGAGATAGAGAGAGAGAAGCAGAGGGAGAAGCAGGCTCCCAAGGAGCAGGGAGCCCGATGTGGGACTTTATCCCAGGACCCTGGGATCATGACCTGAGCCGAAGGCAGACGCTTAACCATCTGAGCCACCCAGGCACCCGAGAAATCCTTTTGGATTGAGATATCAAACTAAATCTGTAACATTGGTGATACCATGAGATATCTGAAATTATTCATGCATTGGTTTATTTATTTATGTATTGCCCATTCTTTGGCTCTCTTCTTCATGAAAGAGCTCAGAGGCCAGAATGGACAGGATGGGGGCGTATAGAGATTCTAATTCTGGTGCTGCCATTAAAACCTGTCCCCTACTTTAGCCTCAAAAGTTTCTCTGGGAAATGAGGTGTGTGTGTGTGTGTGCGTGCGCGCGTGTGTGTGTGTGCACGACACACATACACATCCTTAAGGTCATTTTTGTAACAATTAAAAGCTACCCTGTATTAGACACCTTTTATAAGCCAGATACCTTACACTCATTATCTCATTTATTCATTCCAACAACCCTCTAAGTTGGCACTATTACACCCATTTTATAGGTGAGGAAGCCGATTCTAAAATAGGTAGAGTAACTTCCCAACCCCCAAAGTGGCCAGTCTGGGGTTCAAAGTGTGGTCTGTCTGACCTTGCCCTTCCTCCACCAATGAGTCTACAAGGTCTTTAGGTAGGTCTTGCTTTGCATAAACTCAGCTCTCTCTTAAACATTTGCTTTGTGTTTAACAGTTTCCAGAATTTTAACAGTCAAGAAACATTGGAGTTCCCTGTTTCTTCACAGAAAGCATCTCTCTGTGTTTCTCCCTGCACCCACTGAGTTGAGCCTTGGGCTTGGGATACTTTAAGATCTCCAGCCACTGTGATGTAAGGCTTTATACTTGTGTTTATCTACAGAGTTTTTCACAACACACAGGTTAAGCAGATTTAAATGCTGAATCTGTGTTAATCAAGAACAAATTGATCATTGTTTGCCTTTCAGTTCACTGATTCCTTCATAGCATGAAAAGATCCACCCTATGGATTAGAGGAAGCATTCTCTCACTTCATGTGTCTGAGCAGCATTGGATAGAGTGCTCATAAAACTTTTTGGAAGGGTTTTCAGTGTGATATGTTCCAAGCTGGAAAAACATAGTATTATTGTACTTCACCCAAGTCTGAAAGGAGTGACTGACAGGTAAAAAATGATATCAATGGTATTTATCTGGTAATGTCAGGACCCTTGGCTGGATTGAGTGAACCCCTCATAAAGTAAGCTGGAAGGTGTAATTCATGTTATTAATAATAAAAACAGAGTACCCAGAACCGCTTCACTCCCATGAAATGCCTGGATAGCTTAAAAGAGCCATAGCTGGGGGAAGGGTTTTCAAAAGAATGAAACCACTGTTATGGGGTGCTGTGGGACTCCAGAGGAGACTGTTGGGTCACCGTCCCTGACCAGATTGCTGTTATGGAGGGAACTGTCTCATTAATGAATTCATCCATACGTTCTCTAAGTTGCTATTGAGTTCCTGTTGTATCAGGTCACATGCTAAGTTCTGGGGATAGAAAAGAGGAGAATAAAATACACCATGAGCAAGTTACTAACCTCTCTGTGATCCAGTTTCATTATCAATAAAATGTGCCTAAAATCCCTCACCCTTGGTAGTGTTGAGAGGATTAAAGTCTATAATTCATGAGAAGGGCTTTGAACGATGTTTGGCACATGGCGAGTGCTCAAAAAAAGATCGTTTCCCCTGCTGCTGGGGCTTGTAGTATTGTTCTAAGAGCTCAGAGTTTCAGGCAGTGGTTTTTTTTTTTTTTTTCCTTAAGTTTTTGTTTTAATTCCAGTTAGTTAACATAGTGTTATATCAGTTTCAGGAGTATAATGTAGTGATTCAACAGTTCCATACGTCCCCTGGTTCAAGCAGTGGTTCTTACTGGGGAGGGGGTTCACCCCCATCATGGGGCATCTGACAACATCTGGAGACATTTTTGGTTGTCGTGACTTGAGGGGGTTCTAGTAGAATGTGGTGAGTAGAAACCAGGGATGCCGCTAAATGGCCTGAATGCACAGGACAGCCCCGGCACAGCAAAGAATTAATCCAGTCAAATGTCAACAGTGCCAAGGCTGAGAAACCCTGGAAGAAGAGGCACATAAACCAACAATTGGAATTTACTGCAATGGAGCTATTTTTTTCCCCAGTGTTATGGTGATATAATTGACCTACATCACCGTATAGGTTCAAGATGTACGGAAGAATGGTCTGAACGTATATTGTGAGGTGATTACTACCGCTGTTTGCTTGGCATCCATCACCGAGTATAGACCCAATAAAGAACAAAAGCAAAAAGAATAAAAAAAGCATTTCTCCTTGTGGTGAGAACCCTCAAGATTGACTCTCTTAACACCTTTCCTGTGGTGTTAGCTCTAGGCATCATGCTGTACTTTACATCCTAGTGCTTATGTGTGTTATAACCGGGAGCTGTCACTTTTTGACCACCTTCCTCTGATTCCCCCACCCCCACTTTTGGCCTTTGATCTCTTTTCCTATGAGTTTTTTGTTTGTTTGCTTTGTTGTTGTTGTTGTTTTAGATTCCACATATAAGTGAGGTCATACAGTATTTGTCTTTCTCTGACTTATTTTACTTAGCCTCATGCCATCAAGGTCCATTCATACTCCACTTTGTATATGTATTACTACAACTTCTTTATCCACTCCTCGGTCCCTGGATACTTAGGTTGTTTCTGGGTCTTGTCTATTGTAAATAATGCTGCTATGAGCGTGAGGGTGTGTATGTTTTTTCAAGTTAGAGTTTTTGTTTTTTTTGAACATATTCCAGAAGTGGAATTGCTGGCTCATATGGCCGTTCTATTTTTAATTTTCTGAGGATGCTCCATACTGTTCTCCACAGCGGTGGCACCAGTTTGCATTCCCCCCCAGCAGCGCCCGAGGCTTCCCTCTTCTCCACATCCGCACCCGCATTTGTTGTCTCTTGTCTTTTTGATGATGACCGGAATGGAGCTATTTGAAGTATATGAAAAATGGGGGCCCCAGTGGGGCAAACAGAGGTCAGGGAAGTTTCTGTGGCCATTTATCTCTTTTAGTCCTTACAACTGTTCTAGAAAGATGGTCTTTTGTGCCCATTTACAG